CAGTATTGCATGACCGAGCAATCGCCAGTTAGGTGGCTGGCTGTTTACAGTACCTTGCAAAAGTATTCATACTCCTTGAAATTTTCCACATTTTGTCTTGTTACAAACAAAACCATTTCTTTTATTGGGATTTTATGTGATAGACCAACACAAAGTGGCACAAAGTGGGAGGAAAATAATTAATGGTTTTCAACAATTTTTACAAATAAATATCTGAAAAGTGTAACGTGTATTTGTATTCAGCCGCCCTGAGTCAATACTTTGTGGAACCACCTTTTGCTGCAATTACAGCTGCAAGTCTTTTTGGGGATGTCTACTAGTTTGCACATCTAGAGAGTGAAATGTTTGCCCATTCTTTTTTGCAAAATAGCTCAAGCTCTGTCAGATTAGATGGAGAGCGTCTGTGAACAGCAATTTTTCAAGTCTTGCCACAGATTTTCAGTTGGATTTAGGTCTGGATTTTGACTGGGCCGTTCTAGGACATGAATATGCTTTGATCTAAACCATTCCATTGCAGCTCTGGCTGTATGTTTAGGGTTGTTGCTCTGCTGGAAGGTGAACCTCCTTCCCAGTCTAAAGTCTTTTGCAGACTCTAAGATTGCCCTGTATTTGGCTCCATCCATCTTCCCATCAACTCTGACCAGCCTTCCTGCAGAAGAAAAGCATCCCCACAACATGATGATACTGCCATCACAGTGGGGAAGGTATGCTCGGGGTGATGTGCAGTGTTAGTTTTTCTGCCACACATAGCGTTTGATTTTAGGCCAAAAAGTTCAATTTTGGTCTCATCTGACCAGAGCACTTTCTTCTACATGTTTGCTGTGTCTCCCACATGGCCTCTCACAAACTGCAAAAGGGACTTCTTATGGCTTTCTTTCAACAATGGCTTTCTTGTTGCCACTCTTCCATGATGGCCAGATTTGTGGAGTGAATGGCTAATAGATGCAGCTCTTTCAGAGTTACCATGGGCCTCTTGGCTGCTTCCCTGATTATTGCTCTCCTTTCCCAACCTGTCAGTGTAGTAGGCGGATGGACATGTCTTGGTAGGTTTGCAGTTGTGCCATACTCTTTCCATTTTCAGATGATGGATTGAACAGTGCTCCGTGAGATGTTCAAAGCCTGGGATATTTTTTTATAACCTAACCCTGCTTTAAACTTCTCCACAACTTTATCCCTGACCTGTCTGGTGTGTTCCTTGGTCTTCATGATGCTGTGTGTTCACTAATGTTCTCTAACAAACAACTGAGGGCTTCAAAGAACAGCTGTATTTATGTTAAATTATACACAGGTGGACTCTATTTACTAATTAGGTGACTTTTGAAGGCAATTGGTTCCACTAGATTTTAGTTAGGGATATCAGAGTAGAGGGGGTTGAATACAAATGCACATCACACTTTTCAGATATTTATTACTAAAAAAAAATCTTGAAAACCATTTATAATTTTCCTTCCACTTCACAATTATGTGCCGCTTTGTGTTGGTCTATCACATAAAATCCCAATAAAATACAATTACGTTTTTGGTTGTAACATGACAAAATGTGGAAAATTTCAAGGGGTATGAATACTTTTTCAAGGCACTGTATGTTAGGAGATAAACTTAATAAACTTGGAGGTCTTCAGTATTTGCTCTAGTCATGGTGACTAGCAACAAAAGATCTATTTATAAAGCCCTATTGAGAGCCACCACATTAAAGTAGGGCTTGAGTTCCATCCACTGTCAATAGAAAGATATGATTGTACAGGTTGGACCAATTAAAAATTCCTCAAGGATAGTGAATGGCAGGAGAAAGTATAATAATGCAAGGGGGGGTAGACCTAGAGGGAAGAGACCTTGACCGAAGGCCAGAGAGGACTGAGGAGAGTGGTAATAATGGATGTGCTTGATAGCTATATATCATGCCAGTTTATGATTGCTTGACTTTTGTCTTTAGTTCTACAGGAACGTCTTCCATGGAGCAGAGGTTGTAGTGCTTGAAGGTATTAGGACTTATTGCTGCTTATCTTCTTTATATCATCTATTCTTTATACAATATAATCTTTTTCGCCTACAATTTGTGTTGAGTGTTTCACTGCAGACCTACCCAGTGGTGTATTTGGGTTGTGCGCTGCCCTAAGCAACACAAAAATTGGAGAGAGCTTGCCACCGACCAACTCCAGACCCCCCTTTCCCACGGAGAGAGCCTTCACAGCTCTGGCCATCCCCAGGAACGACAGTTGGGCTCTGCATACACCATCAATCAGCCCTCAGCCTCTCTTGGAACCCACCTGGTCCCAATGTCCCTTCTTCCAGGGAGCAGTGCTGCCCCTCTAAAAAAATGCCACCTTAGGCAAATGCCTTGTTTGCCTTGTGGTAAATACGCCCCTGGACCTACCCCTAACGAATGGTGAGGAGTGGGAGCAGATTAATAGTATTGGTATTTATATTTATTATTTAATTTCATTATTTCATGTTATTATAATTATTTTTATTAAAATTATTTTTTAATGCCCGTATTATTATTTGTTTAATCAACCCTCTCATTTTCTTACAATGGAAATTTTACAAAAACACAGCCAGTTTTGTAGAAAACGTGGACCTAATGTTGCATACCACACTGCAGTAATCTGCCAAACTGTATCAGTTGCAGTACTTGATGTCTCATGTGGTAAAGGTTAAATAACATCCAACATGTACATATTTATTCACAGAGACATTTGTCTTTTTATGATCACTCTACAGCTAAAGTAATTACAGCCCTCAAAGTTCAAGCAGCCCTACACCACTCTTTGTGACTAAACTATGTAATTAAGCAAATCCTCTTTTCCTACTTAAGAAAATATGCATTTGGAAATGAAAAGTGCCAGTGTTTGGTGGTAACTGTTTCTTGGAATCACAAGGTCTTTTGTTGTGTTATAAAGAATGATTGTATTGTTTATGTCATGTTATTATGCTGATGTTGCTCTGTTGCTTCCCACAGTTTGTAATTTCCAACACATGCCTATTTTGTTTAGTGTGATTTTTCTCTCCTGCTTAATTCGTGTTTCTTTTGGGGAAAGGTGGGATTCTGGAAAGGAGGGTTCATTAAACGTTTTATAGGTAGATATGAAATAGCATTGTCCTTCAATTATGAATAACAACATAAGCATCCAGTTTAACAGAGAGCTTTAATTTAGGTTTGTTCTGTACAGAGTGATTCACAGTAATGATCAATCAGTAGTTACAAAAAAAAATCAAACTTAGGGGGTCTATTCATAAAATAGGAGAAAAACAAGTTGCCCCAAAATTCATGTTTGAGTTATCCCCAGAGAAGTGTTTTAAAATTTTTTTCAGAATTTTTTAATAAATAATCCCAATAATTTTGTCCCTATGCACGTGTATTTCCCTTTCTTTGTGTATACATCTGTTTTGTTAAAGTAAAAAAGGGCTGTCAGCACATAGCAGGCACCTCCAGGTGAATTTACATCAGATCTGATCTCACTTCATTGGCTGTCTCAAAGACACAGTAGGTAGTGAACGGAAATTTCTCCAAATGGAGGGAATAGGTAAGTATCAACTGAATAAGTGTTCCCATTTTAATTTTTCCCTTCTACTCTTTGTCCTGATGACAACTCAAAATTTTGAATTTTCCCCAACTTTCAATTATGGTGACAGTTATCATCAGAACAAGTAAGTAGAGAGGGCAAATCTCCCTGGTTGGGACACAGACAGTAATAAAAGAAAAAAAAAAAAAACAGTAGTTCTAAACGATCATCAATCTATTCAAAACTAATAATAAAAAAGTTTTGCTTAACCAGTTGGTGACCGCTTTACAGCAGCTTTACTGTTGTAGGGTGACCACTGATCACATATATATACAAGATTCTGCACTTCCTGGTAGGGCGCGCACATGCATGCCCCCGACACACCACTTCTGCAGTGATTAGTCACAGCAGAAGTCGATCATCAGGTGCCGGTCAATGGATGACTGCCAGCACACACCCTAGATGTTTAACCCCTTCCCAGCCAGTATCATTAGTACACTGACAGTGTATATTTTTAGCACTGATCACTGTATTAGTGTCACTGGTTCCCACAAAGTGTCAGTTAGTGTCAGATTGTCTGCCACAACATCAACGCCATTACTAGTATAAAAAAAAAAATTCCAGTACATACATCATAGTTTATAAACACTATAACTTTTGTGCAAACCAATCAATATAGGCTGATTGGGATTTTTTTACCAGTAATATGTAGCAAAATCCATTTTGGCTTAAATTATGAAGAAATGTGATTTTAAAATTTTTTTTTATTGGCTATGTTTTATAGCAGAAAGTAAAAATATTGTTTTTTTTTTTTTTTCAAAATTGTTGGTCTTCTTTTGTTTATAGCGCAAAAAATAAAAAACCCCGGTGGTGATCAAATACCACCAAAAGAAAGCTCTATTTGTGGGAAAAAATGACATAAATTTAATTTATGTACAGCATTGCATGACCGCACAATTGTCAGTTAAAATAGCGCAGTGCCATATGTAAAAAAATGGCCTGTTCAGGAAGGGGGTTAAATCTTTCAGAGAGCAAGAGGTTAAGATACACTAAGGGTTCAATGTATAAAATTCACTGTGTGGATCTCTTCAGCATTTGCACATGTACATCTAATGATCATTGTGTTGCTTATATCATGACATTCTCCTCTGACTTTTAGCTCTATCTAATGGCCATAATGCAGTGTTTTTCAGGAATTATTCAATTTAAAAAATCCACATTATGACCATTAGATGGGGCTGATGATCATAAGGGTTAGTCATAATACAAACAATATGGTGATCATTCGTTTCTGAACGCATCCCCACAGCAAATGTTTTATGCATAGACCCTTAAAGGGTAACTCCACTTTTGTGAAAAAAAATATAGCAAATAAAAAAATATATATATAACATATAGAATTGCTACGCAAGCCATACTGTAATTTAATGTTTTTTAAAAATTACCGTATTTTTGACTCCATAAAACGCACCTGACCATAAGACGCCCCTAGGTTTTAGAGGAGGAAAACAAGAAAAAAAATATTCTGAACCAAAGGACTGCAGACACAGTACAGGAGATGACCAGAGACTGCAGACATAGTACAGGAGATGACCAGAGACTGAGGACATAGTACAGGAGATGACCAGAGACTGCGGACATAGTACAGGAAATAACCAGAGACTGCGGACACTGTACAGGAGATGACCAGAGACCGCGGACATACTACAGGAGATGACCAGAGACTGTGGACATAGTACAGGAGATGACCAGAGACTGCGGACATACTACAGGAGATGACCAGAGACTGCGGCCATAGTACAGGAGATGACCGGAGACTGTGGACACAGTACAGGAGATGACCAGAGACTGCGGACACAGTACAGGAGATGACCAGAGACTGCGGACACAGTACAGGAGATGACCGGAGACTGTGGACACAGTACAGGAGATGACCAGAGACTGCGGACACAGTACAGGAGATGACCGGAGACTGCGGACACAGTACAGGAGATGACCGGAGACTGCGGACACAGTACAGGAGATGACCGGAGACTGCGGACACAGTACAGGAGATGACCGGAGACTGCAGATACAGTACAGGAGATGAGCGGAGACTGCGGACACAGTACAGGAGATGACCGGAGACTGCGGACATAGTACAGGAGATGACCGGAGACTGCGGACATAGTACAGGAGATGACCGGAGAGGGCAGACCTTTGTGGAACAGAAGGGGGGGAGCGGGTACCCAAATTTGACAGGTACCAGCTCCCACTTCCGATGCGTTGTCCTGCCTCCCCGTCTTCTGGGACATGTGACAGGTCCCAGAAGACTGCCGGACCATTCACAAAGCTCAGCAATTCTCGCACAGTGGGCACCCGGCTGTGAAGCCGCAAGCTGTCACAGCCGGGTGCCCACACTAAGATGTCGGCACCAGGCAGAGAAGATGGTGAGGACACCACTGGACCGAGGAACGGGTAGGACTGAGGAGCAGGTTCTGTTGCACAGAAGAGCCGAGCTGCCGGCCCGGTATTCTAACATGACAGCGGCGGGAATATCGGGCTGGCCACTCCATATTTACTCCATAAGACACACAGACATTTTCCCCCATTTTTTGGGGGAAAAAGTGCGTCTTATGGGGCAAAAAATACGGTACCTTTATTGTTTAATTTGCAGGCTCTGTCATTTTCTGTAACATTCAACATGGCAACTTGGAGGCATTCTGTACACCACTGGCTTACAAACCGCCCCCAGAAATGTAATTTCCTGCTTGTGTGATTTCCCCAGAAGTCTGCTATAAGATACAAGTCATATTTTAGGCAACCCCTACAGAAGTAATTTCAGATTTTGATCCCCAAAGGTTAAATACTTCTAAAGGGATGCAAACCCTGCAGCTTTTCTAATTAGAAGACTGAGAGTACACTAGCAGATTATAATGAAGCCCAACCTCCAATTCAGAATCAGTATGCAAAGGACATGGAGAAACAAACAGTTCTTTCTTCAGAGCAGCAAAGGTAGAAATCTGCTATAAAGTTTCTTAAAAAAAAAGAAGTGGAGTTGCTCTTTGAGTATTAGGATGATAATAATTAGTAGCTAACTGCAACAGTTAAGGGGGCCAGGGGTGATAATGGAAATGTAGCTTTAAGTTGAAAACCCCATGTCTAATATCCAGTTATGGGTTTTGTGTAGCTAACAATAATGTACCGTTATGGAAATAGCACAAACACAATTACAGCACATTGATAGTACAATGTAATGTAGCCTATTATATTTTCACAATCTTTCAAGATGCAAGATTTCTCCTCACCTTCTGTCCTGGTGACAGCTGTCAAATTTTGGAATTCCCATCACTTTCTGTCCCAGTGACTCAGCAGCACTAAAAACAGGAGTTCGGTACAAAAGACAGGGGTTCTATATAAAACTATTGAAAACTCAAGCCAATGATACACTTTACATTTTTTTTTATTACACCCCTATCTGCCCAAATATGCCATTTAGTAGCAACTCACAAAGTAGAAATTTTTTCTTATGCTAATTATACAAAGTGCTGCTTGAGACAGTTCTCATATTTCCTTCAGAATAAACGATCCAGTTGGATATAATAATTCTTTACATTTAGAAATGTCTGCTGCTATAATTAAAATACTGTCCAGAATTAGCATGTGCATTGGCAATAAGAAATACTCACCTGTCGAAGCTTGCAATAGATCAATCAATAAACCAATTCCTCCTTTCCAGAAGTATAAAAAGGATTGGAAAAAAAAAGGAAATAAATAAATAAGTAAATGCAAACACTTAAAGTACAAAATCTGGTGCAGCTCTGTATAAATTCCAATCAACTTCCAAGTTTTATTGTCAAAGCTTAATTGAACAAGCTGAAGTTAGAAGCTGATTGGCTACCATGCACAGCTGCACCAGATTCTAAGTGCACCATTTTTAGTAAAGCTCCCCCAACATGTTATGTTATTTATTTAAATAAATAAATACATAAATAAACTGTTTGTACATATAGCTACTATAAATACCTAATCCCCTGTAGAGCAGCACTCAGATTGGGGAAGGGACTACTTGGGTCCATCAGGTGTCTTGCATTAACATGTGCTGACCAAGGAACATGCTGACAAGAGAAGAGATATGACCTTAACTTTCCATCACTGATTCTTCAGGCTACCACACATAGCAGAGGGTCAGGGAGTTGAGTGGTGACCAAGTTGTGTTGCTTAGCTGCACCAGAGAGAGATCAGGTCACCAGAGTAGTTATAGTCTCTCAATGGTCTGTGTAAATCCCAGGACTGGATAGAGAGAAATACAAATCCTTTGTCAGGGTGCAAGTCCTCTGTATGTATATATGTTTAAACTGAACTTTACAGACACAGAAGAATGACTCATCCCGTTTTGGGCAGCTCAACATAAACTTAGAATCACACAAACCAAGCCTCAAAGCAAACAGAGACTGCTGTGCTGTCTTTTTTACCTAGCCCATAGTGCTCTGGGAAACCTTTATCATGTGACTGCATGTCATGATTTTTCATTAATATTTGGTTGACAATGCCTTAAAATACACTTTTCTCTTACTGAAAATGTTTTAATGGTAAGGAAAAGAGAAAGTGTATCTGACCAAGTCTAGTAAGTTATAGAAGGATAGAAGGAACTGAGGAGAAAGGTTAAACTTTTGTGTGTAATGGTCTATGCAGTCATATTTAGACACAGTGCAACTGTATATACAGGACAGTGGAGGTAAGACAATGAAAATGCAGAATATTGGTACACTGTCTATCCAGCTGATTATCTTTCTCTTTGACTTCAATTAGTCCCCAGTCACACTGGTGTGAATTGTCATGTGATTTGATTGTTTCCCTATTGTCCGCAATGGAAGCTGTCATATCGGTGGGATTCCAACTCTGTCGGTATCACACCAATTTGGAAAGTGCTGCATACACTACTTTGCGCAAATTCAGGTACGACTTGCATAGACATGTGTACAAGAAGTCGCACAGATGTCTTCCAAGTCGTACCTGAAGTCAGACTGACATCCGACTTTGAAATTGAGTGAATTCAAGTGAAGTTGAACAATTTCAAAGTCGGGTACCACAGACTTAGAGGTTAAAATGTATAAATATATTATAAAACACATTAAAAAACGTAATTAGAATTGACTCAAAAGCTTTTTAGTTTATAATGTATCTTTCCGATGACTCAACTATTGAGTAGGTAGGTTGAATATCAGCAATCAGAATACATGGTAGCTGTGTTTATAATAGTATAACATTTTCATATATCACATTGAATATTGGAATTTACTATGTTACCAATGTTGTATCAGCAAAAAAGAAAGCTTGAATTTAAACATCTCAGTTATGTTTGTCATGAGTCAACATTATAATGCTGTATGCAATACCTTGCATCAGCATTAATAATCATGATATCATTAGAGTATTTAACTTAACATTTACAGAATGTTTATGGAAGGGTGAACTGTAGTGCACCGAATGAGCCTTCTACTGTGAAATCATTGTGTCTGCTTCTGACGTCTACCATTTTTTTTACTGTTATTTGACACACTCTAGCTGATAGCATTTCATTTCACTTCATCACATGATGTTTCCTTTCATAGACGACTTCATTAAATCTATTTTTTTTTAATTTGCTTACTGAGATAAATATGGCTTTGCTGTATATTTGTGATTTCCATTTCTGTAATTACATGGCTCAAAAGACTAAGTTAATCTGGCCTGCTAAACAAAAGCAGAATTGCCGTTCTACTGTATGTATTCCCTGTCACAGTGCTTGGTGCTCAAATGCTTAGTTTCATCGTATCTCAATTTTGTTGCTTTCTTTGACTAGTACTGTATAAAATGCATGTAGAAATATTCAAAAGTGCACATTGCTTTTTTAAACCATGCAGTTCTCCAGTTTAAAAGAATTTTCTAGTGAATCATTTTAATTATGTACAAAGATAAGAACAAACAATGCTGAACATGTACGGCTTTATATGCTGTTTTAGAGAAAGGAAGTAATATTGTGCGTTCATAATATTAAAGCAGAACTCTAATTTTTAAAAATATTGGGAAATGTAAAGAGGGAAGTATTTGTCTTGAGTCTGGAGCTGTCTTCTGCAGTAATTACTTTTTTTCCACTGGAGGTTACTAATCCTCTGGGTTGATTAATAGGCCATGTCATATAAACCACTTCCTCAGAGCCCAGACTGTCATGGACTCACCCAAGGGGCAGCGCCATAACTTACTTAAGTTCAGCGTGCCCACTGCTACTGCTTGAGGAGAAGATGAAGGACCCATGACATCACCAGACTGACCAAAAAAAACCTTGTAAAAACATATGTATGCAGGAGTGTTGTTGGGGGGATAGTGTGTTTTTAGATACATCCCAACATACATGCCTATGACAAATTGACAGCCGGATGGGACTTTTGATGTTCTGGGTAGAGCCTCACAATGCGCGCACGGTCTGCCACTGGCACCATGTTTACATGACACCAGTTTACATGACAAATTGTAAACAATAAATGGCTTCAATTCATGCCATTCATTGTGTACTATTGTGCTGCTAGCTGTGATTAATCACAGTGATCACATGGTACATACAGGGCCAATCACAGGCCATCTGTACCATTTGATTAGCTGTGGCCAATCACAGCTAATCACAACAAAACACACTGAATGAATTGATTTAATTCAGTAAGATGCTTGCTTATAGCAGTTAAATTCACTGCTATATGCAATCATAATGTGTAAAAGGAAAAAAATATTGCTCTGGTCACAGTGTGTTAAATAAAATCATTACAAAAATGTAATAAAAAGAAAAAAAAACTAGAAAACAAAATATGAATAACTTAAGAGCTTCTCGAGTTGCTACCTCACCGACAACAACCTTCTCGATCCTCTACAGGCTGGCTTCTGCCCACAACATTCCACTGAAACTACCCTACTAAAACTCACTAACGAGCTACTTACTGCTAAAACCAATGGCCATTACTCCGTACTCATACTCCTAGACCTTTCCGCTGCCTTTGACACATTCGACCACCTGCTCCTCAGTAAACTCTACTCCCTTGGCCTCCA